GCCAACAACTGACATGACCTCTACGATACTCAACTTCGTAATCGAAAAAAACCTTTACAAAGTACTTAATTATGAACTGGTGTGAGGTTCTATTGTTCTCTAAATTTGACAATACTTGAATAAGGTTATAAAAGAACGGAAAAGGTCTCTTGGAAACTAACCGATTTATATTGAAATATTTATATGTCGAAAATGAAAGCGCAGGTCATTATAAATAGGGAACTTAGGTGGGAATTCACAACTTCGCTATTAAAAATATACCTATCGTAATTACAATAGAGAAGCTTACAAAATAAGTTAAATAAAACCAATTAAAGTTTCTGCTTATCTACGCAAAGTTGGTGTTAAGTTTGGGGGTATGGAAGGAAATTTAAGTTAAATTCAGTTTCCAACTACCATGAGAATCTATATTGCCAAAAAGATCACTAACGCTTATATTGACCAAAAAATTCCACTATAATAAACAACAAAAGTACCGAGATGCAGCAGTACAACTTAAGTTGACTATTCAAAAACTACTATCAGTGGCTTTTTATCTTTTTAAAACATCAAATGAAAGAACTGAAACTCATATGAATTAAGAAGGCTAGAATACCGAAAGTTACGAATAAACATGTTTTAACAACCACACGGAAACAACATTAAATTTTCCCGTAACAGCAATCCATATTCATGAAGGAATTTGAAACAAAACTACTAACCATGCCGCAAACTATAACTCTTCAAACGGGGTTATCATGATGCCCTCTCCACAGGCTAAAAATCTACGTTAGATTGCATCAAATTTTGTTCCAGCCTCAAAAGATATGAACTTAACTATTAACCAAACTACCTCGGGCCTGAAGGAACACCACCGTACCACTCTATGACCAGTTACGCATTGAGGCTATGTTGACAGTCGGTTATACTAGTCAACATAACTTGCACTAACCTGGACTAAAATCATGATCAACGTGTAAGCGGTATAGATTATATTAAATTGTATCACTAATCCGATACAAAACGTAAAGACCCCTAAAGATCCTTCACACTAAGTTCTTAATAGATACATGCGGTAAAGTAACCTCGTGTTAAGTTTACAACCAGTTAATCTACGTCATTACTGCATTATTTTTGGCTACACTTATACATTATTAACTCGTTTAGTAAATATCCAGTTTATCCGCAGAGAAATTACACGCGCATCAAACAAATCCTGGAAACAGACCGGGCACTGTTTATCCTTGAACATATCCACCTCCTTCTGCGAAGTTAGTAAAACCCTGTGAATAATCAGTGGAGGGAGGCAGTTCATCAGGGGCTGTCGCGGGATTGGGATGAGGAGGCGGAACATCAACTTGCTGTGTACCAGACGACAGAGACGGCCCAATCGTCGCTAACAAAGGGGCATCCGAGAAGGGCTGTAGGGGAACGTCGTTCACACGAGACGACCCAGCCGGTCCGGCAGAACGATTTATCTTGGTACACTTTATAACAACAAAGATGATGGAAAACAGGACAACTGCGACAACGATAGGCACCACGATGGCCGCAACATTAACACTGGAACCTAAAGTTAACAAGAAATAAAAGAGAGATAGAGTAGATGCTTCAAAGAATGCTGATTTGATGTGAATCACAGCTCGTGTAAAATTCGAAATAAAAATTACCTCTTCTAGAACGGACTGTTGCGCGGAAGCTGGTTCTGCTGGAATCGCTGTTAAAATCAACGTACAAATGGTTTCCTGTCGATGTCACCGTACCATAGTTTACAGTGCCGCAGTATTCCCCGAGAAGCGGATCACTTGATGAACTTCCATCTCTAACTTTCAGATATCCACAAGAACAGCTAGAACAGCTGTACACGTTCATCGCGTCGAGAGTAAGCTCCAGGTTGTAACCCGTCTCTGTAGATATTTTGAATGTGCAGCTTGAATAGGGAGCCCTGGTGTTCCAGAAGCCACCATAACCTGACCTGATGGTTGTCGAGCTTGAACTTTCAAGGTAAAAGGCTTGAAATGAAATACGAAATAAATATTTCCAATTAACGTTTAACTAAAAATCGAAGATAAAGGATTCTTAACTGAAGGGTTTCAAGTGTCCCAGTGTCTTATATTTGCTCATTTTTTCATTCTATTAATTCTATCCCTATTGTGTCATAATAAACATTTCATTCTATCTCTATTGTGTCATAATTGAAGGAAAACCACCATTCCTAAGCTCATGGAACGTCAAGGAAGTGAATTTCAGAACCAAAGAGCTAACTTATGAGTGGAACAGTATTGGAACCTGTGTTGGTATACGAGAGACCTCTTGGGACCAAGTCATAAAAGTGCCCTCACAGTCCCAAAAACACTGTGAACACTTTAGAGAAGAAATAAAGGGCCTTACACCCGAATTTGTGGAGAGCTATTTTTATAGATTCAGATGAGATACACCAACCATTAATAGGAATGAGAAAGTATACCAGCTTTCTCTCACACGAACGCAAAGACAATGACTCTACGAGCTTAAGTGCTATGACCTATTGCACAGGAATGACAACACAGTTGTCTCTCCATGACGATATCATTAGTACTGAGACAGATGGCCGACATTTAAGGAAAAAAAATTGGCTATGTTTATGAAAATTGTGTATTAAAGACAACTCCTTGTTACAGTACAAGTATGCTCTTAGTAAGCTATAGAAAATTGGTGAACTTACTAGTTTCAGAGCTGTGACTGCTACAACTGTGATATGCAGACCGCGTTGTCGGGTAGAAAGGTCTGTATGCTGGAGCATCTGTTGGAAAGCTGTATCCCGTTTGGTACAGTGCCAGGAATCCCGAATAGGTGGCGTAGGAAGAACGGAACTTAACAGTTAGAGAGTTGGATGAGGAGGAGACGGAGGCTGGAATTTGAGACCCACAGTACTTCCCAAGTAGTGAGTTGTAGTAACCATCTCGCACCTCCACGTAGCTGTAATCACAATTAGAGTAATACCCCACGTGGAATCTTATGAACTTCAAATGAACCCTTTCCCCCGAAGGTGCTTCAATACGCCAGTCACATGAACTGTAGGCCGTATAACTCCAAGGAAAATTAGGACTGTAAATTACGCCAGCTGAGGCGCCAGGAATGATTGCTGGACAACCTGAAACGCGTGAACAACCAATTATAACTTGTCAACATAAATGACACCCGAGATGTTTTCCATTGTAAAACATCCTAAACATCTCTTGATCCCAGTTACACGCGAAGACCTTTCCGTATAGAACTAGACTGTGAATGGAAAGGCGAAAAAATGTCGCCAAAACAGATAAGAGCTCGTGGTTAGAGCAAACTTCGCTCAATCACAACCCATCAGCAAGTTCTGCCGGGGCAGCTCAAGCCACGTAAACTCAAAATTGCCGGAAAATGAAATGAAATGACAAAATGTTACGCGCAACTACTAAACAGTTCTGCACGAGATGTGTCTTTACGAAGTCTCTCCTGGGACTCCGCTCATGTGGACGCCTTTTGTACTTGTTTTTTCATAGGAAAGGCGTTACCTTTCCTCTCCAACAATTCTGTTTATTTCGTTGTAAGGTAACACTGTCTCTGTTGATTTCTTTGCAAATCCCTTACTTTGAGTCCGCCAACATATTCCGTCCAATCTTTTATATTATCTTATTTTAGTTGCATCGGATCTCATCAACGAATGTACAAACATCAAGAGGATCCCCTCTGGGTAGAAATTTTGTGCGAGCGAATTAAACTATTTAAGACCCACCTGATGAGGAATTCAGCACTCTGTAGTGTGCCACAAATCCTCCCCCTGTTACGCTCTTATCCGAAGTGAATTTCATGAAGATATTACGACCTGTAGAATACACAGGCACAGGAAGACTGCTTCCACAGCTTTTTGATAAACGAGAGCCGTACTGATTAGTTCCATCATAAATTTCCACACTGTCACAGCTACAGATACTACAATCTTCCATATCGAATTCTGTAAAGTAGATGAGAAGTTTCTGGCGATAGGACGCCACGATTTTCCATTTACAACTCTTTGAGTTATAATACCCAGGGTATCCAGGACTGAATATGGAGTCATTTCTGCTGTCTTTAGGATTTATCGTTTCCCCCGAATAGGAACAAGCTGACGCTGAAAAAAAGACAAAAAAAATTAAAGTCACTTTAGTTATGTCGCAGTAGTTCACCTTCAGCTTGGCACTGCAGGTCAGCACTGACTGTATCTTACTTGACACAGTCTTACAGATAGTGTCAAAGTTTACTGAGAATTTTAGCTTTAACTGAGGAGATCTTAAATTGTACACTCATATCTGACCTCGGTCATCGCACTAAGATATCAAATCAGACTGAACTTACCTTCGACAACTTGATGCTCGGCAGTAAGAAAAACTGAAAATATTTGAAATATTAGTTACAAATTGTCCCAGTCATAAACTATTTTAATAAAGGTAATTCTAACGAAGAACCTAATGGAACGCATGAAAACATTGGCGCACCTTCACTACGCCGATTAAAGCTTTCGAACGAAAGTGAAGTGCAACCAAACGGATAATATCGTGAACATCAACAAGTCCGGTGCACACGTTTGCAAACTGACTTGATTCTTTTGTTTCTTGCGTGTTCGTATTTTGGACAAGCATGAAGACTCTGAATGCAATAGTCTCGCTCCTTAATAAGTTCTTGGAATCGCAAGTTGCAAAGACGCTCCGCAAGACCTGAATGACACCTTTAATAATAATAATAATAATCACAGTAATAACAATGGTTTAATATCAGTACATCCATGGTATGGGTTCTTCGCTTGATATAAAAGTAAAATAAGGAAAAAAAATAAAAATACATAAATCTGAATTATGAATCTGTAAAAAGCTAGGTAATAAACAGCAAAATGTAATTATACAATACATACATTATTTAAAAACTAGGCAAGAAGTTATTCCACCCTATTCCGGCAGCGCTCCCTCAAAATACATAATGTTCGCTTACTGAAGGATTTAAAATGATCACAGTAGTTAACATTGGATGGCAGAGAATTGAAGAGGGCTGCCGCGCTATACTGCAAAGTGTCCGAGGCATAGGGAATAACTAGATTTATGGTACTTGATGACCGTAAACATCTAGCATGTCTTACTTGCTCAAGCTAAAGGTTTCTGGGCCAATCATGAGAGTGTATAGCTTTGTGAGCGGCCTTTAGAACGTGCCATTCTCTGCGTTCTTTCATAGGCAACCGGCCTAACTTAAGAATAGAGTCAATATTGTTCACGTAGCGTCCAAAAACAAAACTGGCTGCCGCAAACTGGATGCGCTGTAACCTTTTTAAAAGGCAATCAGTAGTTGGATAGAATATTATATCATTAAAGTCTAGGTGAGATAGAACCAAACATTCAACTAAATGTTTTTTGAGATGGTAGTTTGTAAAGTTCTTGATTTTCCTTAGCGCAGCTAGGACACCATAACAAGATGAGGCGAGATGCTTGACATGATCGTCTCACTTCAAGGTGTCAGTCATGTGAACCTCAAGCAATTTTCAGATAAATGTATAAAACGTTCAGCCAGAGAATGGTAAGACTACATCTGAGGAGTTGAGAACAACATACACTTAGTCTTTGTAGGGTTCAGTGCCAAGTTGGAGTCCTGGGTCACTTACAAACTCTGACCAAACGGAACGAAAAACGCATCGCTCCCATAATCTATATTCGTCCATCCGTTGTAGTCGGCGTCGTGCATAATCAGACCTGGAACAAAATTCTCGAAGGTGATTGGTAATCACCAGCCCGATTACAGCACTAAATGGACAGTGTACACGTCATGCTTGTAACTGGACAGTATGCGTCATGTGCGCGCGTTGATGTCGTTCACTTCGCTGAGTCAACAATTGTTTTTTTTTTTTAATGAAACGTATAACCAACGGCTAGGTTTTTTTTTTCCTCAAATTTTGTCAGTTTTGACTACTTATTCGTAATTAACAAATCGGACTCCAGTTTTGTCTATCACTTCCACTATTACAGACCGACTTGGACTCCACTCCTATTACTGTCACTGATACGCGAGAGCTAGAACTTATCGTTTGCTCCAAGTGAACAAATTCGAGGCAAATACATCAATAAAGTAGGTAACGCCTGTTTACAGCCTACAGGATATATGGGCCCAGAATTGTGGCCGAGCCTCCTTCAACACAAACCAAACAATATCATGAATCACAAAGATCGCTACAGGAATAATTCTATGTGCACATAAAATTATCCATAGAGTCATATCATACTTTATGTGAGTACAAACCAAATCTTTCAATCCAATCATATACCGATTTCATGTGGGTATATTACATGTAATTGTTGAGAAGCACGCGTAACTAATTACAAAAACATGCAGTTTCAGTGGCTTACGACTCCCACGTGATCACAGAAAATGAGTGAGAAATAACTGAGAAAACGAGCAGCAGCTTGCCATGGTAGTTTTACTTCTTTCTTGTCTTTATTCAGTCTGTTAAGCGTAGGTATTTACATTTCAAGCTTGCATTGGATATTAAAACCCTTCAATTGGTACAGTTGTCCGTGCTTGTTACCACTGACTGGACCGTCTGTATTGAACATTTCTTCTGAGAGCTAAAACATGTTTGTAATCAATTTTTTTTTTCTGATACATTTTTACATAAAACAGGGACTGATAATAATTCAAAAGCTAGAAATTAGATTACCTACATGAACATGCATTCTGTAGTGTATTGCGTTACATAAGATCACATAGCGTTACCACTGTAACTTCCAATCATGCAGTAAAATCTATCCTAAGCGTGAAATAACTGATTACGAGTATTGCACGGTAAATATATCATCTTGATTACTGAACAAAGTACAGTTGAATTAGAGGAATGAGAGTGATCACTTGACCTATGAATATTCTACACATTCCATGAATTTGCATTTCAAGCTTGCATTGGAGATCAAGATATTAAACCACGACCATGGAAATGTATGCGCTCTAGATCTTGTAACTTTATCAGCATTTTATTCACAATTACCCTTTCCATCCAAAATACTCTTTCAAACTCCCATCATTTACAGAGTTGTACAGAAAATATGTGCTTAACATAATTTTATCTGACTATCATTGCTTAGTGGGTATGACAATAAATTTCTAAAAAACAGGTTATCAATTGTGAAACCAACTGCATATCCCATGACAGTTACCTATGGATTGAGAATGCTGAAATCCACCTTTTATCATGTACAGATTGTGTGAGATGTTTTCAAAGTGACAAAATAAAAAAAAAAATTTGATGTTGAAGACATCCATACATATTGACTACAATTTCACAAGAAATTTAAAATTGAGGGGTTAGCAGGTTTAGCACCCCACCAGGATGTTTGCAGCTTGCTTGAGTGCTAGAGGTAAATTAATTCCTCAAGTTGAGCAAGATAGCGGAGAAGTTCAAAAGATGTAGCTTGCCTTTGAAAAGATGAGAATTCAAAAGAAAACAAACAAATTTCATGAGGTGCCCCAGATTGGTTGAAAAGCTAGGGCAAATTATCTGCACCAATCACCAAACATCGCAAAGTGAGACCAAAGAGATCCTACATAGATTTAGACTTTTAGTCATAAACTTCTCTATTGGACTGGCAGAGGCATAGCAAATTATCACACATGTACATTTTTTAATTGTTTGTATTTCACTTTTGACAGGAGTAAATTTCTTAAAAAAAGGATATCATTCACTAATTTCTTACTTGTCAGTCTAAACTCTTAAACTGCTGGAGAGCCTTGAAGATTACATAAAAACTACGATGAAGGCATTAAAAGCCCACTCCAAGCATGCTACACAAACTTTTATGGTGAATAAATTGACTGTATAGACAGTATAGTTAACTCTCACTTTAAGATAGGGAAATGAAGCTTGTCACAAAAAAATATGCACCATGATGTATGAGCAAAGAAACCTTCATAAGATTCTTGTCAAGGAAGGAGACTTACTTGTAAAATAGAATTTTCCCTAAATCCTTTCCAATTATTGTTTTAAAGTGTCTGTGTCATGTGTTTGTGGTGCAAAATTGTTAAAATTCTCCTACATCAAGTTGCTTAGTTGAAGTATTGGTCTTTAACTGCAAGGAATATCTTGTAAATACATAAAAAAAAAAAATAATAAAAGTGTGTAAAAAAAGTGCAAGGCCTTGTCGTGTAAAAACACAGTACATTTTCCAGTGACACTGCTAAAGAAAATTATTTGGGGACAACTTAATGAGGAAAACTTACAGAGTAAAATTTGCTGATAAAAGTAAAAGAAAACCCTGATTTCTGTTCTGAGCAGTTAAGGCTATGCATCATACATGTAGCTTTACGGCATTCAGTGTATGGCGCAGCACAGGTGGACGGAGTCACTGTGATGATCATTTACTTGAAGGCACTTTGACAACTTAGTTGTGATGTTTTCATCCTTGTCTATCTGAAAGGTTAATAGCTATCTACACTATATACATACTGAGATTCACACACTGAAAAGGCATCAAATAAATTTTCATTAAAAAGTTGATTTAAGAGGCAGAAACCCATTCAGGAGTCCCATATCATGTTTTACCAGATGTGAACCATATCTATTGGTTTACTGGCTACTATCTGCAAACCTGCACACAGGATGTTAAGAGAACTTGAGAAAAGTTTGTAAACCATGAAGCAAGTGAAATATCTTTCAATTGCTAAAACTTAGCTGGTGAAATATATTTAGCTCAAATTCTTTTTAGACCACACCGCAACAAAAGCGGCAAAATCTAAAGACAGCAACACCAAGTCCTGTGTACTGATTCAAACACCATTCATATTCTTAATCTAATATAAATGGCAAAAACTCAAATATATGTAGCCTACCACTAATGAAGTAATTGTAGTAGCATACAATGTAACACCCCAAAGAAATACATATTGACCCATCATAAATACATCCAGCTGTTTCGTTTATTCACAGATTATTTTCCTTTAACCAAATTTGTTTCTACTACCTCAGCTTATATTAAAGCTCTCACTGAGTCCTAAACATTTACAAAAAGTGCTTAAAACACTTAAACTTGGCAAAAATGTACAGAATTGCCACAAATCTTGAGTACACATTCACTTTGCAAGTGGTTTTTGTTCTCATGTAAATACAATTTTCAGTAAAGATCTAAATGAACATTCAGTTAGTTTGCCACTACAATTTTCTTGAAACAACAACATGCCAACTTGTCCTCTCAGGAAGTAGTTTAGGGAATTCTAATGGAGAATTTCAGAAGTTCTTTCATTTTAACCACAAAGCCAGAAATAAAGGCTTGAAACAGAGCAACCAGTTAGTTACACACTGCATTTTCAATAAAAAATTTGATAATGTTAGAAAAAGATCTTTGTCATTGTTTTTGGCTATCAAAGTTTCTATTGCCTTTCTTCTCAAGGCCTTTAACAAATTAAAAATCTGGGTATCTGCTCTGAGTGACCTTATATTGCAGGAATGAAGATGTTTCAGTTTGCTAAGGGTAGTAAACAGGCAATTATACAATAGATTTTTTACCAATCAGGGCACACATCATTATGTGGAAAGAACAGAGAACAAAAATACAAAGGAGAAAACTAAAAACAAGATCTTTAAAGATGATCCAAAGAACAAGAAGTACATACCAGTCCCTTCCCCCAAGAAATTAAACATGCATTTGTGTTCACTGGGTCTGTTGTACATTAAGATTATGAACTGTCAAGCTTAAGATGGCCTGTTTAAATATTTAGAGGTAAGTTGATATTTGTTTTTGCTTGCTGTCAGTGTGTTGTATTAGTTCTACTGGAAATGCAATTAATCGGTATGCATGGTTTACATCTTTTATGAGTGATTTGTTAACCTTTAAATTGAATCTGTTTTTACAATAACTTTTTCATCAAACGAGAATTTAATCTCAGCATGTATCACTGCTTTGTATCAGAAATCTCACTAATACTTGATTTCCCATGCTACCAGCTTGTGTGTCAATACTATTGGGGTTGACCTTCCATGAAGTATTCTATAAATATCATCTTTTTATACATTTTCCAAAGTTTTGAATCATTTAAATAATTTTCCTAATAAAATATTAAATTTCGATGCAACCTCTGTCTTACTATGCTAAACAACTACTTACCAAATATGACATGTTTATCAACTAATGCACAATTTCCTAAATACTTCAGCAATGAGAGCACCTCGTCCAAAATCAAAAAGAATTCAACAAAGAAATGGACTTGGTCATATTTTCCACATTTTCAAACAAAATTTTAGTCAGTCGTTTTAAACATAACTTTTAGAAAAATAGCATTAATCAGGTCACCAATATTTACTCGGGCTTCTGAAGGAAATGCCCGAGGTATAAATTCAGCTGTGTTTTTTTTTTTTGCGTTCAGTCACAAAATGCAGTTCCACTACAGCGCATGCATAAAATGTAAGCACGTGTAGAATGAACCTTAGAGTGTGACAGGGATGAAAAACGTCTGTGCATGCATGGCGCGAGTGTGTTGATGTTGTCATTGGTGAGCTTTTTGATCGTTCGGTCAACGAGATGTTGGCACAATTTAAACTGTGTATTCGTGGATATATTTTGCCTTTCAGACTGGAATGTAAGGATGCTATTTGAAAATAACTTCTGTAAACTGAACTCGTTGACATGTTGAACGTAGTATTTTTGGGAAATGTTTATTTGCTTGCTCAAGAGCCAACAACTTTCAGTACTCGGTAAGGAAACACTTTGCAAGCTTAATTTATTTGAGTACAATTTACCTCTATTTTAGATAATAAGCTAAGTTTCAAATTGATAGAAGGTAAATAATACCATGCTTTGGTAATAAATGTGAATCTCGAGAAAAATGGAACTTTTTATCAAGGCTAAGCGAAAGCATGCACACCCATCCTACACGGTGTTACATGAACCAACTGAAAACACTGCAAAATATACCCCAAGCATAGCTACAACACAAGTTACAAATTGCGTTACATATCACTTTCACTGGAACTTAACATTTGTGTTACAGTCCTAAGAGTGTATTGGAAATTAGTTATTTCCACATGATATGAGAGGAGCTCCTATGAATGCTGCCACTTAGCAAAAGCCACATGAAATCCACCGTTCTCATGGATGTGCTATCAAAAAGAAAAATTCCTGGGAAAGCTGGAATAAGTACAATGGTGTTGGGACTCAAATGAAAACAGAAGCCGGAATTGCTTCAGAATTAATGCAGACAGGGAGTTCAGGACCAATATGGGTATAGTCAATTATATTATTCAGTGCTTTAGGACCTTTCATAGGTTGTAGCACACCAAAGGTTTAAGGAGTTTAGTGTGATTGAATCATAGATCCTGTTGCCTAGTAAGATTCCTTGAACAATTATCTGGTACACCCATGTCTGACTCAGTGGACTGCTTCTTACAGAAATATCCACATTGAATGAATTAAACAATTTGCTAAACAAAAGGGCAATAAGTGTACATGAGTTGCTTCCTGTTCTGCCAAGAACTGTTGACTGTAAAATAGTGCTCAGAAAGAACCAGAAAGTGTCATTGCCATGTTGATGTGGTTGGATATGACTGTTTTTTTTCCTTTTTTAAGAAAGAAAAACTTTTAAAAAATGCAATAGATTTATCTAGCAACCTTTGTGGCATTACCTGGTTAGAGCACTGGATTGTGTTGTGTGGGAGGTCGAGGGTTCGAGCCCTGGCCAGACCAATACTCATGGTCTTAAAAATGACTGAGGAAAATTTGCTACCTTTCTCTAATATCAAGAAATGGATAGATATTCTAGTCTTCTCGGATAAGGATGAATAAACAGTAGGCCCATCTACATTCTTTACTCTCAAATAATTGGCATGAAGTTACAAAGCTGTTTTCTGATTCAAAAGTGACTCACCACATTGATATTTATTTTACATGATATCAACGGTTAAATTATAAGAAAGGGCTTAGTGCCAAGAGTTTGGTTTGCATGGTATAGTTAGGTGGAGGGATGAATTTATACCTTATCTGCACCATTATACAAAGAGAGCATGCTGAAAATTCTTTTAATAACTCTTTTATCATCTCCTCTAACATCATAACTGAAATTTAGTTCAGTCTAACTCATAGTTATCCTTTAAGTCCTATAAACACCAATTGGCCTCTTACTAACCAAGTTAGAGGTCTGTAATATAGGAAATGGGATTTATAGCCCATGTGAGAAGCATGCAGGCCATAAATTCAAGTTGGAAAATTGAGGATTTATAACATACAGTATTCACCAAGAAAACGAGGCAGTAAGATATTTATTGTATCTGTGGGTTCAAATAAGGGGGGGGGGGGCAGATTTAAATTCAAGCAAACTATTGAATTTAGCAGGCCCTACTGTCAAATACTGCACAGAAAATTGATCAATCATGGCATTTTTGGATTTTTTATGATACAGAGAAGGCAATCACACTATTATGTAAATCATAATCGATAACTCAAGACCCTGAATTCCACTGTTAAATTTGGGCACTCGTCATTTAAGATTCAAATCTTCTTCACAACACACTCGTCATTTAAGATTCAAATCTTCTTCACAACACACTCGTCCTTTAAGATTCAAACTTTCACAACACACTCGTCATTTAAGATTCAAATCTTCTTCACAACACACTCGTCATTTAAGATTCAAACCTTCTTCACAACACACTCGTCATCTAAGATTCAAACCTTCACAACACACTCTTCATTTAAGATTCAAATTTTCTTCACAACACACTCGTCATTTAAGATTCAAACCTTCTTCACAACATTGCATGAACACATTGAACACTTTTGCGTGGAATTATACCTATGATCGGAATCGCTGTAATCTACTTTTCAGTTATAAAAAGTAGATACAAGTTCTTCTCGCACTAATGCACTTACTGGACAAATGATTTGGTAACTGAAATGAATCAATACTACGCAACAAATTCTTGATGGCGGCTATCAAGAAAACATTGAGCATTTTTGCATTACGAGTGGACCTTACCAAGGAAACGTTTATGCACCTTTACCGCATTATCTTCCGGAAGGAAAACCTGACTATTTATGTGGTGAGATTTCTCGGATAATTTGCCACTCTCTACATAGTTCCATATCACATTGAAGCTCATGGCAGATATTTTCCATCTGGCTTCAGACATGAATTTCCGCTATCGTCATGGGAGCGTTGATCAGAGGTTCGTCTTCGCAGACTTAACTAAGAACAACGATAGCCGCTCTAACGCAACAAAACATGTGTGAATTGTCTCTGTAGCATCGACAATTTCCTTCCGGGCACTTTACACTAACAACGAAATCCAAATCATTTTTATAAAGCCATTTGCAAACAAACCTAACGCCATGAAACGTTCATCCGCAAGTCGCCATTTACGAAACCAAAAAATGTAATAGCATACAAGAGTTTCGACGTCCTAGTAATAATTTTAATAAAAAAATGCCCCAGCATGCTTAACCTGGATGAAACGTCCATTCATAGGCAGGGTCTCTATGCGTCTCGAGCGCCTTCTTGCTTGTCAAATCTGCAATGCAGGCTTGGCGGCGAACAGAGAGTAGAAAAAGAACTGTCCTTTACTTTACTTACCCAAAGTGGTAAGCATCAAGCTGGCTATCGATGACATCTTCCCAGAGGATCCGTGTTTTAGAAATTTACGAACCAATAACTATAAAATAGGAGACAATGATATTCGCGCAGTACGGTAAAGAACACCTCGACAGGTCCAAAGTGAGGGGGACTTGACAACAATGCTACGGGTGAACGTTTCCATTCAAGGCCCTCTTCGACGATGTCACGCGATTTCGAGGTTTCGAAAATATAGAGTCCTAAAGTGTGACGTCACGTTGCCATGACAGCATTTTTTTCTGGTCTAAACAGTTTAAACTCATACTTCAAACATGGCGTCTTTATCGATATGCTCACTCGTTTCTTTCTTTTCTGGAGAGCAGAAATCGCTTGATCGCGGAGAAAACCACTTCAAATCCGACCATGTCCAAAGCTTTATTTATTCCAGGGGAGTTATCAAAGGTGAAGTCCAAGCAAGCATGAAAAATAAGGACTACAAAGTCACAGTAAGTTGCCAATTTGGGATCACAACACGTATGTTCAATTCGAAGAACTCCCAACCCCGATTTCACCTCCAATTTAATGTTTATATTGCGGAATATATATTGCAACTTACGTGTCTGTTTCGAATTATCTTTTTATCAGATTTATCTCGATGAAAACCTTGAAATAAAAAACACAGAATGCGAGTGTCCTCGCGGCGAGTTCAAGTGCAGTCACGCGGCNTTGAGATAAAAAAAAAAACAGCTATTTCTAATCGATGGTACAGCATCGAAATATATATTTTTCGAAAAATACTCACCTTACAAATGATATCCACTTATCATAGAGTGTTTTATGTTTTTTCTGGTCTGGAAACGAAAAGAATCGGCAGCAGTGGCTTTCAGATGTGTGATTGCAATCTGGATGAAAACACTGGCCCATCGCAAACTTCGTCTCCGTGGCGTTTTGACTCGAATTATTGCTCACCAGGTGCTTTTGTCCGCTTATTATACTCTTCAATAGTAAGGCCAAAGGTTATCTTGATTCTCTTTATCTTATTTCTATTATTGGAGGATAAAATGCGCTATTATAGCTCTTGAAGTGCTCGAGGTCAACGACAATGTGTCACGCTAGGGACGCCATATTGGTTTGTTTAGACCACAGAATTCCGGTGCTATGGAAACGTGACGTAAGCACTTTAGGACTCTATTGTTATCATTGAATAAAATCTCGCATTCTGATTGGTTAACGTAGCGAGGTTTTCAGCGGAATTGCGAGTTGAAAACGAGGCTAGGTGATATGTTTCGCATCTACGTACATAACAACTAAAAGTAATGCTGTCCGTAATGTTTGCTTAGTATATTCCACGCAAGGCCAAGAGATTAGGAAAAACTAAAATGTTTGAACCAAACGTTTTCGGCTGTTTGCCATAATCAGGGTTAAAAATAATGACCGTCTGCACATACACATATATCTTATGTAATTCCCGATGGGAAAACGGTTTGGAGACATAAGAAATAACTTGTCTTCAAACTGTGGCGGAATTGTTGGATCATTTGCCCCTCGACGATCCTACGCTGGTGGAATGTTTGTGTTGAGGAGAGAACACGCCAAGTGAAAGAATGTGATGGATTTTCCCGCAAGTGTTTTGCAGGTTCAGAGGTGTGAGCAGGATTTGAATGCTCCGCAATACGTACTGCTAAACTTCTCACAGTCTCGCCAATGTAATCAACACCACAAGAACAATCTCGTAAACAACTTTGGATGTGTGAGTGTTTTTGTCTTTGTTGTTAAAGAGGCGTTTAATTTCCCTTGTTTGCCACAGGATTACAAAGATCAAATTAAAATTAGCGAACTCGTTGAGTTTTGCAACGAACGTCTTACCGAGTTTTTCGTTTTTACCGCAAAAAGCAAGCTTGATGTCCTTGATGAAAACTTTCCGATTTTCGCTCTTCGAAGAGAAAATTCGGAATGATTTTGTCATCTTGTACCTTTTTGTGAGTCGTTTAGAAATTTGTTGATTGTATGCGACATAAAACGTTTAGGATAACCTGCACTGATAAAAGATGTTTCATTCAAGAGTTTTTATGTCCTTGTCAAGATCGGTAGAGATGCGTTTGGCTCTATGGAGTGCGCCAGTGATGCAGTTCCTTTTCCATTTTGTAGGGACCTCCGATTTCCAATGTGTTGGTAGTTTTCCCGGTTTCTTGAAGGACGCTGCAATTGAACTTGTTGTTATAACTAAAGGCACTATCGAGGAAGTGATCGGGGTTTTCCTCGACAGTGAAAACAATGTTAGGGTGGTAGTGATTTAGCCGTTCAAATAGAGCATCGGGCGAGTCCTTTTTCTTCTTAGAGAAACAAAAAGGTTGGACTACATCAGCTTCTAATTTAGCCATGAAAATATTTGCAAGGACTGGAGATAGTGGGTTGCCCATGCCGCATCCATCAATTTGTTTCTAGAGCTTGTCATTAAAACTGAAAACTGTGTTCTTGGTGACATTACAGAAAAGGCGTCTGAAGAGTAACTTTGAGCTGAGTTGTGGTAGCTTATTGGTGTAAATTTCATGAATGATGTGGTCAATGGTTTCATCGAGCGGAACTTCAGTGAAGAGAGAGGATACATCATACGAGACCAAGACTTCATCATCATCAACAGTTCTGTTTTTTAGACGTTCAGCAAAATCGGTGGTAGTTTTGATGCTGTATTCGTTCTCAGTGAGAGGAAGTAAGTAAGAGGCTAGGAATTTGGCGGCTTCGTAATAAAAGGTTCCACAAGTGCTGAAAATCGGTCGAAGTTTCAAATTGTCTTTCGTGATTTGTGCAGGGTTCTGGAATTCATGGGTTTTGGCAGTCCCATATAGGAAAGCAGGCTGGTTTGATGTCGGTTTGATTTTACTCAGTGGCAGAGAGGAGTTAAAGTTTCGGGTCAGAAAAGCTTGAAAAGATTTGAGGTTTTATAGTGTGTTGTCCTCAGTCACTACGTATTTCCCGTTAGCTATGCCTTCTTCGATCATAGTTTCAAGTTTGTTGAAGTAGTCGGCGCGTTGCATAATGACGACAGATGAATCTTTATCGTCAGAGAGGACCACCGTGTCGGGATCTAACGCTAGTTTATTACATTGGCGAGACTGTGAGAAATTTAGCAGTATGTATTGCGGAGCATTCAAATCCTGCTCACACCTCTGAACCTGCAAAACACTTGCGGGAAAATCCATCACATCCTTTCACTTAGCGTGTTCTGTCCTCAGCACAAACATTTCACAAGCGTAGGATCGTCGAGGGGCTAATGATCCAACAATTCCGTTCCAGTTTAAACAAACAAGTTATTTCTTATGTATGTCTCCAAACTTTTCCCGTCGGGAATTACAAAAGATATATGAGGGTTCCCAATAGGGTTCTTCAATCCCGCCATCCCGACCGGAATTTTCCTTCAATCCCTCAATCCCGACGGTTTCTACCGGCTAATCCCGTGTCGGGGACTGGGGCACATATTACGTAATTATCTAACCCGTGACAACGGAAGCACGTGCTTATTATTAAGAGCCTACCCACCCTTTTAAGTTGTTAATTGAGTCTACTGAATGAGAGAGTTAGATTGACCGTGATTGTGCGAAGACCTTGTGAATCTTGCGATTATTAAAAACGTTAACATCAAATTTGTGACTTGTCTTGGGTACTGTCTCCAGCGGCCGGAAGAGTCCAGCAAACCCGATCCCGGTCATATTTTCTTAATTCCTTACTTCAGCAAAAATGATCCTTGAAGTTCCGTTTCAGACTCTCTCACAGCAGACTCAAGCACTGACTATTACGTTGAATTAGCTGTATCTCTCTGTAGTGTTCGGAGAGACGAGAATAGAGTCAATTGCAATATTAACTCAACTAGTTTAATGGCGGATGTACTAACAACAACAACGCACGAGGTGAGTCACGTGCTTAGCATACGTCATAACATTCCTCCCTTCCTTAGGAAAAGTAT